TTTTCAATTTATGTTTGATTTTTGGTAACCATTAAAATTATTATTTCTTTTTATTCTACTGATACTGCTATATGATTCTTGGTGAGAATAATCTGAACTGTTAGCTATATATATTTGAATTTTACTTGTTTGATATGAGTTATTAACTCTAAGTTTTATTGATTCTGAAATATCAGGAAAAACGTTCCCTTTTGAAACAAGCATAAAACACAGAAAATCAAAATAATCGTTTAACAAATCAATAAATTAGTTTTTTTCTTGGATATTTAATATATATTTCAATAAAACAATTTTTTTTTTTAGTTTGCCCTTTGTCTTTTTTAAACGTAGTCTGGCATATATCTGCTGTTATAAAAAATTTCCTTATTTTTTTCTTTAATTTTTCCTTAGCCCATTATAAAGCCTGTATTGTATGACATATTCTGTTTTCCTATGTTTTAATTTATTTTTTCTCCAGTGCAGTTTATTATTTTTCAAGTCAAGATAATCGTTCATATCATTATAAATGAAATAGTAAGAAAATATTCCAACATAAAATTATAATAACCATGTATTTTACTAGTAAAATAAGCTTATTTTGCAAAAAATATCGACCCTCAAAAGAAAAGTTTATTTGAAAATTGACTAACCCTAAATTTTAATTATAAAAACTTTTTGTTAGACTTCTAAACTTATAAGTCCGTATTCAAATACTAACTAAATGTATAATTTTAATTGGATAATTTTTATTTAGTTAAACAATTTAAATGTTTGGCATATGCTTACTTTGTCCTAAATTAAAGTACATCAAAATCAGGGGAGCTTCTATATAAAGAAATAAACTAATAAAGTATATATACCTAGTGCTCAGTGAAGTCAAAATATCTATGCACCCTTTTAACTTCCAAAGCTGCTGCAGCTATTTTAAAATGTCTGCAGCTATTAAAATGTCTAGGTATTGTAAAATAGCTACTGGATTGCTCGCTCTTATTTATAGATTTATTGTTATCTTTTTGATGTTCAATTGTTTTTTAATTTGCCATTGAAAATAAAATAAAAAATAAATAAATATTTTATTAATTATTATCTGAAATATCTTTATACTAAATATTAATGTTTGTAAACAGTTATATTCATATTTTTAAAAGGAAACCTATATAAAAGATTATAAATTCTGGTTGCCACCGAGATGGAATTCAATCACTTATCAATTGTACTTATCAATTCATTAATGAAATTTTATAGTTTTTTTTAAATTTAAAGTTTCTTAGTGAAAGTATTTCTTAATCACTGTAACTTTTATTAAAATATATTTGCAATTGTTAATATATGTAATAATTGATTTAAATATGTTTTTAACTTAAAATTGAATGTAACTGATATGTATTACACTTTTTAATGTCTTGTTTTCTATTTATATTGCTTGAATATAAATATTCGAGCATACTTGTTATTTTATCCTTATTTTTTAATTGAAAACAATATTTTGAGTTTAAAGAAAAATGTTTTGAAAATTTTTACTTTAAGAAGGAAACAAGAAGTAATGCCAATTAAAAGAATATATATTTTCTTATTAAAAGAATATATATTACAATATATTTGCTTCCTTTTAAAATTCATGGTTTAAAATTATACAACTAGGCTTTGTCATTAGTATATTGTAATAATTTGTATAATTATAGCTACTTAAAAGGATAAATTATGACTTTGTTTAGCATTTTATAATAAAATGGTTCAATTTTGGAATCATTCACTAAGTTAAAAAACAAAAAATGTACATTAAATTCTTCGAAAGTTAGTTTATCTTTTTTTAAAAAAAATATCGTTCTTTGTGCTTTCTTTTTCGTCAGACTTTTAAAGGTTTAGTTATTAATGCAAATTAATACGAAAAAGCAATTAAAAGTCTAAAATCTACTTGCAAGGTAGATTTAGACCTTTATATGTGGTGTCATAAATTTTGAGTTCTTTGAAAAAAGTATAATTTTCTTCATGACTTGTCTAATTGCATCAATACATCTTTGTTTTCAGTAATATTAATTTTCTTTATAGCATCATTGTTTATGTTTAATTCATCGTATTATACTTTTTTCATTTCAAAATAGTATAAATTACATTTCAGTACTTAGTAATATATATATATATATTTAAATACAAATTCTCCTACCAATAATTAAAGTATTTTTTTTTTAAATATCTCAAAAATGGCTCAGGCACACACATTACTTCTTGAGTCTTATGCCACTTTTGCATCTTAGAATAAAATTTATAACATACTTATAGCAAGTAATTAATAATAATAACGTCAATAATATTGCTTTAGTTATATATATAAATTGCTTTAAGTTAAGGGCAGGAAATTTATTGTATCTCTTAAATAAATCTTTCTTCAATTTAATACGCCTGCATATTTCAATTACTCTGTATAATGTACTAAATTTCCCAAAAAATTTTAAAGAAATATGTTTTTCAAAAAAATTTGGTACATGCAAATGGTAAAAATACCACTTTTAATTGATTTATTGAATTTTTATACCAAATGCTATTGTTTTATCATTTTCCTTCAATAAATGCTTACTCCTAATTTGAAATTTTTTATGAATACATTATCAGTTATTTGACATTTTATTAGTTCTCACATAGTTTATTTATTTGCTGTTTAGACTTATATGTCAAACTGAAAGATTGTTGGAGAAAAAAGAGGAAAAACTTTGCATTAAAGTGCTGCAAACTTTTAAAGAAATGATGTCATTAGACCCAGACTATGGAGAAAAGGTATGTTTAGTCTTAACTATTTACTTACAAGGGCAGTAAATAACCAGTGACTTTTGATTCGTATTTGTTCCTATTATAAATGGTTATGAAAGCTTAAGTTCTGATAAAGACCAAGTGTGTGTTTTTTTTTATTCATTGTTCTGCTTTTATTATACTAATAGATTACAAAGTTTGTCATCATTGCAAATTATTTGTTTCTTTTTGTTTCATGTCAAGTTTCAG